TTCGGCCATGTACTGCAACTCGTCTGATTTGTCGAGCGGTAGAGCTGTTTGTGAGACTGGCTGAAAGACAAAAGTGAATCCTGAAGATAACCATTTTTCCAATACAGCAAAACTCTTCGTAAAAAGGATCTTGTTGCCGCAGTTAAAACGACTAGGAGAGTGCAATATGGCTCAAAAATAATCAGCTCGCTTCCCCATTAAAAAGAACTAAGAAAACTGAATTTGCACCAGCCAGAGTCAACCGCTATTATTACGACCACTCATAACCACTATCACTGGTGACACGCACCCGGTAAGCCCGTGTGATCAAGCGTTTTTGCAGTATTTCGTGCTGTAATGAGATCGCTCGGAAGCCCAGTAACTAGGATTAGTGACATACTGGTCCTCGAAAGTCCGAAAATTAATTGTCTACGTGGCACTTGGACAGGGAACATTTTGTTAAAATTTCAGCCTCGCAGCTTACCTGGTTCCCGAGTTAGCCACTCTTCTGCCAAAAAAGTTCTCGGGACAAAACGTGAGAACCGCGCATGCCTGGGGGTTGAATTTGATAAATTTAAGTTTTACATGGGCTGAGAACATTACGTTAAAATTTCAGCCTCCCAGCTTTCCTGGACTTCAATTCAGCGATTTCCCCCGTCAGGAATCTTCAAGGGGTCGTACGTAAGAACCACGCATACCTAGGAACTGAATTTGAAATCATTAAGTTCGATGTGGACGGGAAAAATAACTTCAAAGTTTCAGCCTTCTAGCTTTTCTGGTTCCCGACTTAGCGATTTTCCCGTCAAGGCTTTCACGCGCTCGTACGCGGGGATTAGACGTGCGTGAAGGTTGTCACCGCGGTTCTGGAGTGGAAATTGGCCGGGAAACTCATTAGCAAAATTCTGGCGCTGGAGCTTCCTTGGGTGTTCAGTTAAAACACCCGGACAGACACACGGACACACATACACACACACACACACACACACGAGAGTCGTCACAATATATGTTTTTGCATTTGCATATAAGCAAAAACGCATAAAAAGCAGACATATTTCGCATCCA